CAGTCGGTTCCTTCGGAAATAATATGTAACAGAATTTCGGCAGGGGGGGGGGGGTGAGGGCTGGTGGTGAAGGAGCATGGAATAGCCTAACATGCACTTTGATACATGTTCACTCAAAAGCCAGTCTTGATGTATCTCTCAGGGCAGTCAATCCTAGGGAAGCATGGCCTGATTTACATCATAAAACTAAGCCATCTGCTGAAATTCTGTTACATATTATTTCCGAAGGAACCGACTGACCTGGTGTGTAGTAGACACACAAAGGCTCTTTGTGTTTACATAAGTTTAGATATGAATAACCCATTCAATGTCCCTTGATGTTAAACTTAAAACATAGGAGAGCGATAAAACTATATTAATAAATCTGTAGTGGGGTAATATATTATTCATGACTTCGCTGTTCCTGCCATGGTTGTCTCTGCTCTACAATTACCAGAATCAAGATTTGTCAAAGTAGGCCAGATTCCAGTGTTTAAATATTGCCTTGGGCTATTTACAGGTTGGGTGATTTGTAGTTCACTGTATTGCAGGGACACAATCATAATCTTAGCTTGTTGTGTTTTGCTAAGCTGGCTTTAAGTTCAGGGGTACCCACTGGGGAGCGGGGCAAAAGTCCACAATTGCAGTATAACCACATGATCAGGGTGTACCCCTCAGAAAGTATCACTCTCTTCTCTGAAGCAGAAGAGTTCACAAAATCTGCTGTCTGATGACATGTGTACATAACTATAATCTCCTAATCATATAGCTCATTGCATATCGAACATTAATACTATATAAAGAGTCCAGAGATATTTCACGAGTTCTGCACTCCTCTACTCACAACAGAATACCTTATGCCACAAGACTTGAAATTTTAGGCTTAGACAACCTAGGTGCAACCTAAGCGTAATACATAAAATTATCCATTGGAATGTCCTACCCGTCAATGACTACTTCAGCTTCAACCACAACAATACATGAGCACAGAATAGATACAAACTCAAGGTAAACCACACCAAACTCGATTGTGGGAAATACAACTTCAGCAACAGAGTGGTCAATGCCTGGAATGCACTACCTGACTCTGGTTTCTTCCCCAAACCCCAAAAACTTTAACCTTTGACTGCTGACTGTTGATCTCACCCCATTCCTAAGAGGTCTGTAAGGGGCGTCCATAAGCGCACCAATGTGCCTACTGTCCCTGTCCTAACATTTTCTTTTTATTCGTATCCATTTCATATATTAATATTATTCATGTATCTAATACATCCTTGACAAAATAAATAAATAAATACATACACAAATACATGCATAAATAAATCAAATCAAATCATGCCAGTGGTTACAGGTATAATGAAAATAGTCCTTTGCTTTTATGCACATTTTTTTGAAACTTTGCCCTGTAGCAAGAAAGGTGGTAAAATAGGCTGAAACTCACTTAACAAACTATTGTGCTTAGCAACAGAGGTTCAATTGTGGTCGTTAAGTCGAGAACCACCTGTAATTCATCTCTGGCAAATGTTTTGACACAATCTCTTTATTTATTTATTTATTTTTCAGTATGTAGTGAAACCCGCCTGTCAGTCAACTGCACTTTCCCTTCAAATTTTTATGAGCCATTTGCTGGGTGATGCTGGCAGCCCCTACCTCATCGGAATTGTAAGTTAGGAAGATTTGTGGCCTAAATGGGGCAGGGCTGGATAGATGGGTGACAAGAAAGCATGTCTTTGGGATGAATTGGAAACAGTGTGACATAAACTAATTCTGTTTGGGTTTTAAAGGCTCCTTCCTATTGATGGATTAGCTTTGCAATAAACTACAGTAGAGTTGGGTTTTGCCTTGGAAAAGTAGCAATCCTGACTTCAAGGTTGTAGAGCTCTGAGGGCCATTCATCTCATTGCACCATTGAGCTGTGGTAGTGCAGTGGATAGAATGCGGTATTGCAGGCTACTTCCGCTGACTACCGGCTACCAACAGTTCTGCATTTCGAGTCTCACCGGCGCAAGGTTGACTCAGCCTTCCATCCTTCTGAGATGGGTAAAATGAGGACTCAGATAGTTGGGGGCAGACTGCCACACCCAGTTGGCCACCCCTGCTTTAATGGCTATATATGACAAGCAAACTCTGTCCACAGCCTGGAGTTCAATCCTGACAGGGCTCCAGGTTAACTCAGCCTTCCATCCTTCCAAGGTCATTAAAATGAGGATCCAGATTTGTTGGGAGCAATATGCTGACTCTGTAAACTGCTTAGAGAGGGCTGTAAAGCACTGTGAAGTGGTATATAAGTAAGTGCTATTGCTATTCCACAGCCATCATTACTACTGTGGAGGATAGGATCTGATTGTAAAATTGAGACTTCACTCTGCCATGCAATTTGATATTCAAAAAGGAATGGCAACTTTGCAGCCAGGTGTTTCTTTAGTTTTGTGAACAAATAACAAATACAAATAACATGTTGAAAACAGAGCTGGGGAAATGTCAAACAATTTATATAATTTGATTTTCGCTGAAAGGGACAATGTGTACCTTAGGGGATTCTCAGCATTTCATGGTTCATAGAAATCAAGAATATATACAGTTTCCTATCGTTCTATATAATATTTCAAAACGCAAAAAATTGGAGAGTGTAAATAGAGGCATATAATTGAAAAAAATCCTCCTACCCCCAATTCTGCTTCTGTCTATTTTCATAACCCAACGCAGCATTATCCTCTGTCGAATATAGTCCTTATTTTCCAAAATATTGTCAGTGTGACTCCTGGCATGAATGGTTTGCCTGTGTTAGATATTCCAGAGATCCGACTTGGAAAGAGACTACTTGCAGCTTGTATCTGATGGTGACGTAAATCCTTTCAACCTATAGATTGCAAATACAATCAAGGTGCACCAAAGAGATAATTCCACTCTCTGGGATTTCCAGAGTCTGAAGTACAGTTTTGTGGTTTGCATTTTTGTTGGTGTCCTCGGAGGAGGCTGTTTCCTCATGACGGCTGTTCATATTGAAGAAGATTCAAAGAAAGCAGCAGCACCAGCCACACCACTACCAGTGACACCAGGTCAGTCTTTTTCTTTTCATTCTTGGAACAAGAATATGATACATTGAATGTGACTCTAGTGTTGCCTTAATTTACCTAATGGGGCTCCCCAGGAATACCATGAAAACATAACTTAAACATTACTTTGCACCAAGACTGATTATCTATCTATCATCTATCTACCATCCACCTATCATATATCTGTCTGTTTCTTATCTATCTGTCTTCCTATCACCTTTCTGTCTGTCTGTCATCTATCATCTATCTGTTTGTCTATTATCTATCTGCCTGCCTATCATCTATCAGTTTCTCTGTCATCTATATATTTGTCTATATCTGTCAGTCTGTCTGTATCATCTATCTGTCTGTATGTCTATCATCTGTATATCTATTTCTATCTATCTATCTATCTATCTATCTATCTATCTATCTATCTATCT